TTAATGCTGGGGATTGAATCCATAGACTTGTATGTGCTAAGAAAGTACCACCATTGAGCTTTACACCCAGCCTAATAAAACATTTTTAAATGATCGTGGTAAAAAAGATACAATACAAAAAACTATTTTTAATTGCACACTTCACTAGTGCTAAATATATTCACTTTGTTGTATAGCCAAGTTTCAAAGCCTTTTTACCTTGCAAATCTGATTCTGTATCATTAAACAACAACTCCCCTTTCCTTTCTACCAGAGGCCCTGGAAACCACCATTCTATTTTTCTTTTTCTATAAATTTGGCTACTTTTGTAAGAAGTATGTTTAATTATAATGAGAGGTACCCCTGTGGTACCTTTCATTTATTGAATATGTGCAACGTCATACTGTGTTGTGCATTACTGAAACAGATGTGAGTCTTGACCCTAGAAAGTTGTATGTGGCACATACTCTGGTGATTACTTTTGTTTATAGAATTCTTAAAACGTTATTAGTAATTATTATGTATGTAGAGTATATACAATTTTATTGTTTGCTCTGGATAACAAAAACATCATAGATATAATCCTTGCTCTTCAGCAGTGTATATAGTATTAGAAAATTTTTTGTGTTTGTTTTTCAAATTATAGCAATAAAATCACTGTAAATTTAGGAATAGGAGAGAGACAAGTCACTTCTGATCTCACCTACTTCTAGACAATTATTGGCTTATTTATTTTTTCTTAATCTTCTTATAATGTTTTATTTTAATGCATTCTTTTGTATTCTATCTCAATTTCATCAGTATTTTTCCATGTGCACCATCATTTTTATAAGCACTACTTTTAAGTATTATATGACGTAACAAATTTATGTATATCCCAAACTCAGACAATTGTTTCTCCTCCATTTGGACATTTATTTATTTATACTTCTTTTGCTTCATGCATGTAACATCTTATAATTCTGTATTTAAATTGTTAAATTTTATCATAAGGAACTTTTAAGAATGGGAAAAATAAGCATAAAAATAAAATGTCCAAAAATGGAAGGAAATAGTCCTATTAATGTATAGCTAGATCCCTTCTTATAGACCAAGGGTATGTTTGTTTCATTACTTGCCACACTGCTACTACCCATTTCCCATGCTAACTCTAATCTTTTTTAATTATAGAAGAAAGAAGAGTTTCTGCAGAATTTCCTCCAAGAAAGAGTCTGCTTTCATTTTAGTGGAAGTTAGGACATACAAGTCTTTGACTCTTCTTTTTTTACAGTGTGAATTGCTGTTGGATTTGGTTTTGCTTGTTGTATAAAACTGGGTTTGGGGAAAGAGAAAAATTCTGTATTGGGGAAATGCAGTAGGAGGTGGACTGAGGTAGAAATCCTCTACTGATCAGAACAAATTTGAGGTACATGTGCAGAACCAGGCTTCAGTTCCTCTCCTTTTTTTTCATTTTGCTCATTTTTCATGTCATTTATTATTTTCCTACTTTTTAGGATGTCAGTTTGTTACAATCTCCTAAATCTCATAAGAAATCACATAGAGTAAAAACAGAAACCCAAAAACCTTGGAAAAGTGAGTCTTTGTATCAAGTTTCTTCCAAAGATGATGGAATTGACAAAGGGTAGGTACAACTTTTTGTATGTTAAGTGCTGTTCTAAAATGATAAGATTTTTGAAGAACTTAAAAATTAAATAGAAACTGAAAGCTAGTACATTGATTTTTTTTCATGTGGGTTCTTATATTTCAATGATATGTATTAGAGGCTTAAGGAGACCATGCATACCCTAAATTAGGAGTAGAAATCCATTTTTTTACATTAATTTATGTGAACTTTCTGCTCAGAAAGGAAAAGTGGGATTGGAGGAGGCAGATGGTGAATCCAGTTAGAGGCAGTGCACGAGTAGTAGAATATCCAGCACAACATCTGGCACAGGGTATGTTTAAATAGTATTTGTTAGATGACTGGAGAAGCTAAGGTACTCTTGAGGGATGACATAAAATTATATGAGGATCCAATTTTTCTACATCCTTGCCAAAAAATGTTATATATTGGAAATGTGAATTATCTCAAAAAGTAAAACTGCATTAGAAAATACATTGAGATGTACATGTCCAAAACATGTGTCTGGAACCCAGGAAAGATATCAGCTATAAATAAAAATATTTGGGAAGCACTGCACTTCAGGGGATAGTTTAAGCTATGGGTATGGTTGAATTGTTCTTGATAGAAAAAGTTGTGTAGAATGACAAGAACTAAGTTATCAAGCTTTGCAGTAAAGGCAGAGAACAAGGAATCAGAAGAGAAGGCCAAGAAGGAGTGATCTGAGATATGGGAGACATATATCTAGGAAAGGATGTTGTAATGGAAGACAAGAGAAGGAAGAATTTTAAGGTAATGTTAAATGCTGCAAAGTAGTCAAATTAATAGTAGCAAGTGTGTGTCCATGGTAAAGTTACTGATAACATAACAAAGATAAATTTCAGGAGCCAGAAACTAGATGGTAGTATCAGGAAGAATATTTTGAAGGTGAAGATGAACTGATTGGTAGAAAAAGTTGTGTAGAATGACAAGAACTGAGTTATCAAGCTTAGCGCACCCCTCTATTAACTTTTTATTTTGTAGTTGTGAGAAATGAGACCATATACCCTTCATTCAGCATCCCACAATTGTAATATCTTGTATAACTAGAGTATACAAGCAACATTCATCTTCATCACATTTCACCAATTTTAATGCATGTGTGTGTGTGTGTGTGTGTTAGGTTCTATATAATTTTATCACATGTGCACTTTCATCTAACTGTCACATCATTGACATACCCAACAGTTTCATACCAAGAATCTCTTGTGCTGCCATTTGATACCCACAACCACTTCCCTCTCTTCTCCTTCCTTTAGCTGCCTGCTGGCAACCAAAACAATGTCTATAATTTTGTCATTTCAAGAACGTTACATTTTAGCTTGATGTGGTGGTCAGACCTGTAAACCTAGCTATTTGGGAGGTGGAGATCTGTAGGATTGTGGTTTGAGACAGCCTGTGCAAAAAGTTCACAAGACCTGATCTCAACCAATGATTGAATGTGGTGCTATGTGCCTGACATCTTGTCATCCCAGCTACACAGGAAGCACAAATAGGAGGATTTGTAGTCCAGGCTGGCCTGGGCATAAAGCAAGACCCTATTTAAAAAATAACCAATGCAAAGGGCTGTTGGTATGACTGAAGTGATAGAGCACCTGCCTAGCAAGTGCAAGGTCCCTAGTACGAGGGGATTAACCCCCGTATTGCCAAAAAAAAGAAAAAGAATGTAACATTTTAAATGGAGTCATAATGTGTACAACCTTTTAATATTAACTTTTTTCACTTGGTATAATTCCTTTGAGAGCTACCAAGTTGTTCCAGATATCCATGCTTTGTTCCTCCATATTCCTAAGTAATGTTTCATGGATTATTCTTTTTAAAATATGGACATAGCTGGGCACTGTAGGGCATGCCTGTGACCTTCCCATAACCCAGGAGGATCAAGGCCAAACTGGGTTACAGAGTGAGACCCTGCCTTGAAAAAATACAAATTTTGGACACGAAGATTTGAAATGAGTCAGAAAAAAAGTTAAAAGTCACTGAACTTAGAGGATTGCATTTTTGTTAAAGTTTATTCCTAAGTATTTTGTGCATTTTTTCTGTGTAAGGCTGTTGTGAATGGAAATGTTGCTAGTGTACCAAAATACAATTCATTTTTTGTGTTTATCTTACATCCTGTTATTTTACTGAACTTAACTAGTTCTAATAGTATTTTTGTGGGTTGTATATATTATCTGAGAATAAGGACAGCTTTAATTCTTTCTTTATACTCAGGACACCTTTTATTTCTTTTCCTTGTCTAGTTGCCTTGCCTAAAACTGCTAAAACAATGCTGGGTAGAAGTGCAGAGAGCAGGCATCCTTGCTTTGCTCCCAATTTTGGGGTACACATTCATCCCTTCACCGCTGAGTGTGACGTCAGCTGTACGTTTCACATAGATTCTCCCTACAAACCAACAGTGCTGCAATGTGTTTATTGATTTTTATTCTCACGTCTATAATTCAGGTCAAGGTACATGTCAGAAAGCAGTAAAGTGATTCGTTTAACATCTTTTACTGACATTTCTGAATGTCTGAAGCCCCAGCTGGATAGAAAATATATTTATACAGAAGAGCCTAACGTAAGTATCTTGAGGAGTGACTATATTCCTCATTTAGCTGACCAATGTCCCTAATTTTAGAAGATTTTTATTGACTCATCATAGTATTTTTTTTCTCTACCAAGTAACACATTTAATTTTTTTCCTTGCAAGAAAATTTTGACACAAGAACCTCCCGTGTATCCTTCTTTAGTATCATGCTGCTGTATACTGCATCAATTGCTGTTTTAAAAAACAGCCATGTTCTAGTTGAGGTGTGATGATACCTCAGACACAAAATAAGACCCTCTAGTATTTTTTTTTTTTCATTTTCAGGACTTGGTAAAAGAATGTTTGCTATATGTTTTAGAAGTGTAGATTTTTTAAAAAGGCAAGCTATTTCCAGAGTGCAGCAGCCTGGGTGACGTGGACTGAGTGCCCCAGTTGTGGGTGAAGATTCCACACCCCCAGGGAAGATCTACTTGACATACAAACCCCAGCAGACCAACACAGATGAGCACTTAACTGGTTTTGTATAACCGCTTATTTTATCCTAGGCAAAGAGTTCTTCTTTTCTTCCAATTAGGATTTTTTCCCTACTAAAATACTGTGGTTTTAGTTTGAAATACTGACAAACATAAACAAACAAACAAACAAAACCTATCAAATTCTCACCTCAGAATTTGTTAGCAGGCTAAAAAGAGAGCTAGCATGACAAAAAGTGCAAAAGCTTTGCTGAAACCCTGTTTATGCCACACTTGTTTTAGGACTACAAAGAAGTCTGAGTTCCACAAAATAAGTAACAAAGAGTTCATGAGAACAGCAGACACCCTTTTATATTCTGGAGTCACCCTTGCACTTGGAGAAAGAGCCGCCAGCTCTGTGTTTTGAGGATGGTTTTAGGGTTGCTAACACTGTTGGCAGAGAAGCCATAAACAGCAAGGTTTTATGAGAACTTATACTGCCTTTTACACTTGGAAGGCCATGACCTATGTGGGATGAGACTGTCCAAAGAGGGACCTGCAAAAGCAGTTAATGAGCAGCGCTGAGAGGCCTTGAAGATGGTTCTTTTTACAACCCTCTCATAGCTGTAACAGCAGCACCTCAAGGCTAAAATAACAGTAAATATGTAGGAAACAGGCCACCAACAGAGATTTGGAAGACTCCTCAAATGTTATCACAGTGCCTGAAATGCGAAAATAATTGAGGTCAGGCAGTCACTTGAACATGAAATTTGAAATCAGACTGGTTTATAGTAGAATGAATTCTGCTGCTATAATTGGGTTTCATAAATGAATCTTATATGACAGTCATACTGCACTAATTATACATATGGCACAAATAAAATAAAAGGGGCCAGTGGGAAAATGACAGCCTGGCAGGATTATGAAACTCACTTGTGCAATGCTATAAAAAATTACAGTGTTTTTGGGTGGATAATGGACTTCTGTCTTGTTATCTAGGTTAAAACTGTATCAGATGTTGGTGCCTTGGGAGGATTTGACATGGAAAATTTGTTGCAATCTTTGTATGTAGAGAATAGAGCTGGATTCTTCTTTACTAAATTCTGTGAGGATTCAGGGAACCAGGTAGAAAAGAATTATTTAAAATCTAATTTTATAATTTTGCTTCATTTGAAAATAAGCAGTGTTGAAATAATTCAATGCTCAGATAATTATATTTGCTGATAAATTTCCTATCTGTGGTAAAAAAAAAAGTCCATACTTGACATTTAGTAAAAATTTTAAACATCTCAATTATAATTGTCTGGTTCACCACCCTAGGAAAATAAAATACAGGTGAAGATTGACATGCGTTACTAACAGTAGTTTATTTTCATATAATTTTATCTTAGGATAGTATATTTTAAATTTACAGTTGATTTCTGTTAATTCTCTAATTTCCAATAATTTTAGCAATTACAGATTATAATGAATAGAGACAAAATTACCTCCAGTATTTTTTAAAAATCACAAACATTATTCATTTTATAGAAATGAGAAGTGCTTAACTATTAGAATAATATTTGGTTCTGTTCTGATATACAGTTGCCCATATATATCAGAACCTTCTGATTTTCCTTTCATGCTAGAAATAGCTGATCATGCTAACTACTTATGTATGTATGTATGTATGTCTATATATGTATATATGTATTTATTTATTGTGGTGTTGGGGATTGAACCCAGGGCCTTGTACATGCTAGACAAGTGTTCTACCACTAAGCTACATCCCCAGCCCTTAATAACCATTGACTAGAGACTTACTATTTAAGGACTTTTAAATTACTTTTGAACATTTCCATTACAGTCAATTATATGGGAGGCATACATGGAAAACTATACTGCTCTAATGGCAATACCAATATTTTGTATGTTGCTAGTTTGTGATAAGAGATTAAAACTATCTTAAATTGAACCTGATTTATGGTAACAGCAAAGAGTTAAACAATTACTTATATTTGAAATTAGAGTTTTGTTTTGCAGAGTTTTAATAATTGGGTGGTAATAATTTATGTACTTTTCCCATCTCCAGTTGTGGAAGAACAGCGTGTACTTTTGGTTTGACCTGCAGGCTTATCATCAGCTGTTCTACCAAGAAACACTTCAGCCTTTTAAAGTATGCAAGCAAGCACAAGTAAGTAGTAAATAATGTAGGCTCCATGTGATGCTCTAAGGACACAGAGAAATGAAAATTGTGTCCAGCCCCAAACAAGAGAAATCTGGAATTGTAGGCAAAAGGCAGCAATTAAATTGTTGCCTTGGGATTACTTTATTTAAATGTCAGCAAAATATTGGTTTATAATCTGATTTGTGGGTTTTTAGTTTTATCTGTTTTACTTGGTTTGCTCTGTTTTCTCTTTGCTGCCAACTACTTGCTCTTTTTCTTTCTTTCTTTCTTTCTTTTTCTAATTTATACCTTTTTGGTTTGACTGTGGGTGATTCACAATAGGGTTGTGAATCATTGGATGAGTAGTGGCACTGACCAGTATTCTCTGAGCTTCCTACAGACATCAGCTGTTGTCTGTACCAGGCTGTGTTGACTGGCTGTGTGTATGCAGGCCCATGTAGGCGCCTGGACTTCTGTGCTACACGCCATATGAGACAGATACTCAGAGGGTGGGTAAAAGAACGCTTTAAGACCACCCTGAAGCAAAATAGAGAAGGAATGAACAAAAGATAGAGAAGGAAGAACAGAAGATTCTCTGCAAATTAGGACAGAGAGAGTAGCCTCTCTTGGTGGGGGGGAGGAACAGAATTATGACTCAAGCTGCCTTATCTTTTTGGTTTTTATTCTTAGGCTCCTCTGATCTTTTATGGAGAGAGGCCTCCAAGACTAGAAAACTGCTACTCACTTCTCTATCTGTTGATCACTTAAGTGATTCTTATAACCCTGAATAACCGATTCCAGAGGGGCTCCCCCCAAACAGTGCTGGGGAAACTAGCTTCATCATTTTATTTATTATTTTATAATCTTACTGAGGACATCAGAGAATCCTGCTGGATGTCTCTTGTCCTGCTCCTTCCACTACCCTAACTCTGACAGTAATAGCTATGCTTTGTAAATCAGTGACAGAGCTCTGTACTTTTTTACCGTGAGAATAAGGACTTCAGCTCCTTCATAGCCCAGCTGTCTCCATGAAATTAATTTCTGATTTACCAGTGCCATTTTCTGAGACCACACAGTCGACTGTTCTGCTTGTTAATCCTTTACCTGTGATTCACTGTTTATCCTCCTCCTCCTAACCTATTGCCCCTGTCTGCTACAGTGCCATCCGTTATTTTTATTATGTTTTCACTACTACAAAGAGTACTCCTCCAAAAATCTTCAGCTGCTCACTGAAGTGGGATTTTTTTGTTATTAATAATTAACCAGATTTCCATGCACTGGAAATTTATTTGGGAGAAGGAAATTCTATTTGGTCAACTTATTAATTCTTAGCAATGGTATTATTTTACTAGTTATGAATGGTTGTAAAACAGGATAGAGAGTTTAACTTTTTCAAAAATGGATTATTTGGTTTGGTAATTATCAAGGCCTATAAGCTTTTTTTCCTCGGCTTCTCTTTTTGGAAGTCAAAGCAGGGTAGAGGAAGGGGAACAATGGAGACGTTTGCTTTAGGAATGGATAGTAAGGATAAATAAAAGGAGCAAATTCATGTGAGGTTCTTTTAAATGTATTTTCATCTTGCTTCTATGGTTATTTTATTTTGTACATCTGGTAGGAGGAGCAGTTATATAAATTGATCGAAGTTTTCATTATCTAAGATTTCTGTCCCTCCAGAAAGAGGAATTGCTTATGATACCATTAACCTATATGTTTCTTTCACAGAATACGATATCATTCATTTCTTTACAATAGAATGTTGTATTGTTTTCTTCAAAGATGCATTTACAATATAGATCTACTGCTACTGGAAGATATAATAAGCTGGCACTATGTGATTATGAACTTGATTTTACATCATTTTCAGACACCTGCAAAAGTATATGCTAACAGCCTGAGTTAATTCCAAGGGATGTAGATGCTGCTCTGTACATATGCCTTGGAAGTTTCATTCTCCCATGAAATATTATAGAAGTATCCGTAGGCAGACTGGATGGGGATGGTCAATAACAGTGATTAAGCATGACTAAAAAGTCCAAAAGTTTGAACTAGTGTCTGGAGGCATACCCTGCACATTTCGCTGCAGGGCTTTAAGAGAGCATGTGCACAATTAGAAACCAATTGAAATGGTCCTGGCAGGAGAGGAGGGATCACTGCCATTGTGCAGAGATAAAATCTGACTCTAGCACCAGCTTACCAGAGGACCATATACCCCTGCCAAGGTTTGGAGACTAGATTCCATACTTCTTTTTGAAATTATACACTTGTTGAAACAAGCATGAGACACAAGACAACAGAATGAAACAGATCTGGGTACCTCTGCCTTCTACAACTTCTTGCATCCTTGTGAATCTTTCAAACTTTATGTCCCAACAAAAACTATTCATTTAGAATCTACCATTCTTCTACCATACACATTGATATTTTTAAAACTAGTAAACATGTATGACATAGTCATGCTTACAAATCCATAAAAATTTTAAAAATAAGAAATAGGAAATGTCATAATGAAATCAGTATTTTAAACAGTAATATACACTATATAGGACCAGGAATGATATCATGCACCTGAAATTGTAGCTATTCAGGAGGTGGAGGTAGGAAGATTGTGATTTAAGTCCAGCCAGGACAAAAGTATGAGACCCAATCTGAAAAACAAACTAAGAGCAAAAGGACCAGGGTGTGGCTCAAGTGGTAGGGTGCTTGCTAAGCAAGCATGAGGCCCTGAATTCAATCCCCAGTACCACGCCTCCAAAATATATATGTATATGCTAATATTAAAAATACATAAAAAGAAATGGGAAAGAGGAAAGAGAAAGAAAAACCAGTAAAAATTAGAGTCCATGAGAAGAATTATATGGGAAATGCAAGAGTTATTAAGTGAAAATGGCAGGAGTTATTAATGAAATAGAAATGAGGAATGAGAGAAGTGCTATTTAATATAATGAATGGTATTCTTCCAGAAGCATCAGATTTTTGCCTTATTGAGTTGGACCTTAGGGTAACACACTTTAACACATAGGAAAAAATCACAGATCTTAGAATTTAAGGCCATGAATATAAGTCACCTCTGCTGTTACTGGCTGGGTAAACTTTGTCAAACCATAATCCTGGGTTTCATATCCTATAAAATGTGAGTAATATTTTACATTTTTTCCCTCTACTGGTTTGGAAATTACATGTTCTGTTTCTGTTTTTAATCCTTATAATTTTAACATGAATACTGAGTAATGTTTAAAATTAATCATTATCTTTATCCTTTCAAATGATTCAAGAATCTTAGAAGCAATTTAATTCTACTATACCTGTCCATTTTACGTATGATTTTAGATTTGTTTGTGGTACTAGGGATTGAACCCAGGGTCTCATGCACACTGTCTTTGAGGTGGGAGTCTCACTAACTTTGCCAGGGATTGCCCTTAACTCCCAGTTCTCCTGCCTCTGCCTACTGAGTGGCTGGGATTGCAGAAAAATATATCTATATATCCTGCTGGGGAAGAACACAGGGCCTTACATATACTAGGCAAGCACTTCCACAAAGCTACATACCCAGCCCATGTACGGCAGATATATATCTATATATCCATATATCCATATATCCATATATCTATATATTAATATAGATGTGTGGTATGGGGGAATGTTGGACTCAGGGCCTAGCACTTTACCACTTGAGCCATGCCTCCATCCCTTTTTTGTTTTTAGTTATTTTTTCAGATAGGGTCATTTTTGCCTGGGCGGCCTCAGACTATGAGTCTCCTACCTATACCTCCTGTTAGCTGGAATTTCAAGCATGAACCACCATGCCTGGCTAATATTTTTGTTAATTTTGTTCTATACCCTCCCAAGTTGTCAGTACTTTTATTACTACCAATCCTTGTGTCCAGTTTATTCACAGATATATTCCTTGCTTACCATTGTTTTATTTACGTATATCAATTGTATATTGATATTTCCATTGTGATATTTCCATACATATTTCCATACATACATATATGTATGATCAAATTTACCCCCATTATTCTTTCTTATCCCCTTCCCTCTTTTTAAAATGAATTTTAGTGATTTTCATTATTCTACTTTCATACATGTATATGAAGTATCTCAATCATGTTCCTCCCCCCCACACTTCCCTACTCCCACTGATTCACTTCCAAACAGTCTTCCTGTTTTACAATTTTTTCATTTTTTTTAACATCTAGATTCTATATATGAGAGAGAACGTGTGATATTTGTCTTTCTCAGTCTGGCTTATTTTACTTATCATGATGATATCTAGTTTCCTGCAAATGACATAATTTCATTCTCTTTTTTTAGTGAAAGTGATAGTAAAGTTTCTTAGCAAAGGACTACACTTTCAATAGGCTGAAAGCGGGTCAAAGACCAAGAATGACCAATTTCATTCTTCTTTGTGGCTGCAAAATGTACACACACACACATACACACACAAACATACACATATCATGTTTTCTTTATCCATTCATCAGCTGATGGGTATCTACACTGATTCCATAGTTTGACTATTGTGACTATTTGTGCTATGAACTTGGGTGTGCAGGTGTCTCTACTGTATGCTGACTTACACTCCATTGGAAGTATGCCTAGGCTCATATGGTAGAGTTATGTGTAGTTTTTTGAGGACCCTCCATTCTGATGTCTATAGTCACTGCACTATTTTCCGTTCCCTCCTACAGTGTGTGCAGATTCCCTCCCTTTCCCCCCATGTCCTATTTTGGAAAGATGTGGAATTAGACAAGTGTGAGTTTGGAAACCAAACCCACATGAGGGAACTCACAATAACAAATTTTCAAGAAAAGTATTTTTTTCCCTCTTACATAGGGTTCAGGCAAAGATAAGAATGCTTCTTTTTTGTCTCCTAGATTTGGTAGTTTTCATGGTGCTTTCTATGGATACTAAGAAACTACATGACTGCTTCTTCCAGAATCTTCTTTCTCTGGTATTTTGGCAGCCTAGATTACTTGAAAACTCTTCCTCAATAAAATTTCTGGAAATACTGGATAAAATATATA